ATTCAAAGCAAGACTAATGAGACAATTGACAAACAAATACAACCAAAAAGTAAACGATTTCTGTTCAAAGATGTGTTTATCTTAACCCAGCGATGGATTACAGAGTTTTACTCATATCGATGGCGGATATATCTGTTGAATATGACAGTCCTTGTGTTGGGTGCGACCACTTTGGCACTCATGTCCGGCTCAGACATCGGTCAATACGACGACTGTATATCAGGAGTCGGTGTTTACACCAACAATACATGTCTGGAGATATTAGACCGCGACTATCAAATCAATAGAAACTTTAGTTTCATATCATTCACAATATGGGTATTACAACTGATTCTCGTCAATCAAATCACTGGTGATATGATCACCAAAATGATGGTCTTTGTCAATGAACACCACAATAGTTGAGTGATTTATATTTACTTAAAAATTATACAGTTTATAAATTATCACCATATATGATTTTATACAATGAATTTAAATATTATAATGTAGTATGACTATAATTAACAAATAATTTACTTTCAAAGGTTGGTACAGTACGAGTGTATTCCTAATCACCCAAAACTTGTTGGAGTTAATACCGACGGCAATCGGCGCGAGTTTGACGGCAACCATCATGTTTTATACGACAGACCAATACAACGACGGCAACCGATTCTACATGTTTTTATACACCATGCAGTTGTGTTTGCACAGCACACAGGGTGTGGCATACATGACGGTGGCCTTGTTTTACCGACATCGACAGGTGGCATTCATGGTGGCCACTAATATATTCCTTATACACGCCCTGTTATGCGGTTATTTCGTTATGTTAGAGGACATGTACGATATATTCCAGTTTTTAAGTAATATTTCTCAATTGAAATTCACGACGAGTGCTATTTTTGTGGCCACTTATGGCTTCGGCCGCTGTCCTGACCATCAGTTCTCAAAATTATTACACGAAAGGCATATCAATGATGACAATATCTATTGGAAATATACCAACTATTTATGGACTCAGTTAATTGTTTATAGATATTTGGCTGTTATTGTATTGATGTGTCAAATGAATAGCAATTGGTTTTATAAGTTAATAGAAAAACTTACATTTATTAAATCCAACGTAAATAATAGTCCTAATTGTTATACTAATGGCATTGAATTGCAGACAATATCAGAAGTAGTCTCAGAGGCTGGATGTCATGAAAATATCAATGATATCGATGACGATATGAGTGATGTGTCCATTGACTCTCAATATCACTCTTTGTCTGGCAATGAATACAATGGATATCTGAGTATAGCGTGGATTGATTTGACACTAAAAGTGGATAAAACTCTGTATTCATCAGAAAAGTTGATCCTAAGAGGTGTTAACGGATTGTTTGAATTCAATTCATTGAACGCATTGATGGGTCCGTCGGGTGCGGGAAAGACATCACTCTTGCGGTCATTGAACGGAATGTACAGACATTTGATGACTAAAGAGTCAAAGATATATTTGAGTGCTTTTCACACAATCAGGACCTGCTTTATAGCACAGGACCAGAGGGAACATCTCATCACTGGTTTAACAGTCAAACAATCACTCATTTACGCGTCAAAACTGAAAAACAGCCTCAAAAGTCGCCTAAACCACGAAATCAATGTCTTTCAATTGATGCAAGAGTTGGCCATAACTGACATAATGGGTGTAAATGTGGAGAAATGCAGTTCCGGTCAACAGAAGCGGATTGTGATGGCAATGGAGTTGACGCCAGACATCAAACCTAATCTCATTTGTGTTGACGAACCCACGAGTGGTGTCGACAGCTATTCAGCGCTTTTAGTAATACTGTGTTTTCATATATAAATTTCATTATCCATTAATTGATTTAATAATTTGTTTATCAGATGATAAAGTGCTTTAAAAAGTTGTCTCAAAGACATAGCTTAACGATCATAACATCCATACATCAGCCAAACCTCGAAATACTAATGCTTTTCGACTCACTGTATGTTTTGGCCAAAGGAGGGCTCACCGTATACTCCGGTCCACCAAAACACCTGTCCTTACATTTACAACAATGTAATATCACATACAATAGGGAACAGATCCCCATTGAAGTACTCATGAAGATCGCCGCCAAAGGCTTTACTGATCAAAAAGTTATTGAATTGTCGGACAAAACAAATGAAAACATGAGAGATAACTGCCGACGACTTGAGACTCAATTGAAATTGCATTCAAACGGCATTTCAATTAAAAGCAAACCGTTTTCTATCGTCAATACATACCATCTATTCAACAGATCCATCGCTAATATCTTCACATATCTCTGGAAACAATTGGTGGCAGAAATCATAGTTATGTTAATATTAACATACACTGTAACGTTAATATTTGATTTTGATTTCAATCATTTGTCTGGTTGTGTACCGATTGCTGTCAACGGATCCAATGGGTGCCGACAGACCGCACAAGACATGGAAGACCTGAAACTATCCAATTATAACATACAGTTGTATGCCTTTCTAATCGCCTCTCAATTCTTCTACCATTTAATTCTAAGCGCAATGAAAATGTCATCAGAAATAAAGCTCTTTATGTCTGAACATAGAAATTGTGAGTTAAATTCATTAACTGTTTGTTTAAAAACTAGCTTTATTTAAAATAAGGTTTACAAACTAAACTGGGTTAACTATTACTATTTTTAAATAGTGTGATTGGTTCAGATTTATCATTGTATTGATACTTTATCAAGATAAATATCCAATTCTATATTTTAATTATATAACATTTAATATTGTCTTGATAATTTATTGCAACTATAGTCTGGTACAGCGCAGAGTCATTCTTTGTAGTCAAATCAGTGATGGATTTAATACCATTGATTATAATAGTGGTGTCAGTCGTGGCGGTGGTCGACAACTACGACAAAGAGCACACCTATTGGTCACTATTATTGGCGATCGGCTTAAGCTCTATGTCTTTCCAGAGTTTGGGCCAAATGTGTGGCATTTGTTTTGAAGACAACGGAGTTTTAGTGAGCATTTTGCTCATCCCATTGCTTACATCATTCGCTAATATAGTGATTCTGGTCTACGATATGAACACATTTCTGGTATATATGTCACAACTGGATATGTTTGCCGCCGCTATGGGTTATATACGGATTTGGTTTAATGGCTCCGACAGGTGTCCGGAGGGAAACATATCATATATTTTATATCGATATCATTTAATTGATGCAGATTTTGATAAACAATGGCATCTATTAGTTACACAATTGGTATTCTGCAGGCTTTTAACGTATATTTTGCTTAAATTAAAAGTCAATAAGTTGGAAATTATGGTAAAACTAAAAAGTTTTAAGAGAAAACTATTTTGATCAGTTGCTATTTTAATACAAAGTTTTTATAATAGCTTTATTTTTGTTTTAATGTTATTTCTAATTTTAATTCTGTCACTTATGATATTTTATAAAATAAAATAATTTGATAAAATATAAATATATATTATATGGTATATTTATAAACTAAATAAATGTATATTTATTTTTCAATAAAGTAAATCTATCCAATAGTTTATTTGCAAGACTTGGTTAATTTGAAAACCCCACAGAGCTGTAATAATTAATAATTTAATACAAATATTTAGTTATGAGATATGATGTGAAAAATTTATTTCATTTTATTTAATTATATACACAATGATATGCATAACTGGTGTTTCAGTCGATGGTAATTATCTTAATATCACATTTATATATAAATTTATGAGTTATTGTTTTAGTCGCCAATAATATTTATAAATTCATTTTCTATACATGTATTATATAATTATATAAATATGTAAAAAACACATTTATATGGAAAACATCGCGGATCTCGTGGTCAACCCCTGCGGACGAGACTGCACTCGGGAACCGCTGAACTCCAGCGGCCGCTCTCCAGACACTTGAGTACGGCGTTACCCCTCATGTCGTACCCGTCGGCGCATTCAAACCTCACCGTCTCGTTCACGCTGTAGAAGAACTTGACGATCGATATAATGCCGCCGTGTGTTGTGCCCGGGTATGTGCACGCGGGCACACCTGG